TAACAGTTGGCAACACTGATGAAAACTTTTTCAACGATCAGCTTTTGAAACAAATTCTTAATTTAGAGTGTTTTCTAAGATAATCAGTTTATTTATATAAATTTTATCAATTTTACTTAAAAATTGCATGCATGTGGCAACCTTTTTTCGAAAAAATCAAATAATTCAAGTCGATTCAGCCTTCAATATAAGCCTATATACTGTCAAAATGAAGAAGATACATACATACATATGTATATGTAGTTACAGTTACAGGGAGTGTGTACAATTCGTTTAGTCTTCTACTAACAAGTTCTATTTATGTAAATTATATAACCTTCTAAAATTTAATTAAGAAAGATATTTGCTAAGCAAATAAATTTTAAAATATATACATATTTATTTGCTGAAATATCTCTACAAAAAATTCTTATAGGTGCGAAGCCGATATTTGCTTAGACCAGCCCATATATTGTGCGTGTACACCTCACACATACATATCTCTATATATACACAAGCCAACATTATAAATATTAACTCAGTAACTCTGCTGATAAAGTTCATTTATCTCTTCTCTAAATATTTGTTTTGTATTATAACTGTTTTGTTGAGCTTAACAAACAACTTCACGCTTAATTCTTCATAAAAATAGTTCATAAATATTTTCCAACGCTTTGTCTGTCTCTTCGTGTTTGTTAACAAGATAAAATTTACATTTCCGCATTTAAAGGCAATTACAACAAAATCAAATGCAAAATTTACATAACGAAGACGAGCCGTTGAGATCATTCACCTAAATCTGGTCGGCCAAGCGTCCCTTGAACTAAATATATGTACATGCTAAACTTATGGTATATTGTAAAAAGGAAAGCATGAAAAATTTAAAAATTATAATTTCTTGCCTTCGAAGATGTTACACTAATTAACAAATATTAAAACAAAAGGAAAGGGAAATTACGTAATTGGTTTATGGAAATCGCCGAATGAAATATTTTATTGTTATCACCAATGTCTATGATACCCAAACAGAAGATAAGTTCATTATTAAACAGTGAATTTAAAACCGTCATAGCTCAAATACTTAATTCAGTATCTTTCAAAAACCGACACGCATCTCTAACTGCCGCCCTAATGTATTCTCTAACTAAACTACTTTCAGCGAAAAAGTACCGTTGTTATAAGTTTTTGATTTTGCTGTCACTAGTTGAATTTAAATAAACAACATACATATATATTTTATAGAAAATTGCTGAATGTATGTAACACACAGAACAAAGCCATTTTCTTAACTCTTTTCAAATTTTTAGTTTTGGAGTTGTGCCACTACTTAGTTCGTTTTTATTTCTACTCATAGTATTCGCAAATTTATGTAGAGATCTTCTGCGCCCGTTTTTACTTGATATAAAGAGCTTCTTAAAGATATCACTCTTTCGTTTGGATCACCTCTATAATATATAGTAGATATAAAATATGGTAGTAGAAGATCGCGTAGAAAACTAGTCTCCTCTAAAGAAGTTTATCATTCTACTAAAAGTCTATCATCCAGAGAGCTTACTTAAGAGCAATTAGTTACATAATTGTTATGACTCTAAAATTGTTTTGAGTGACGAGTTCTTTACTTGTTCCATACATAATTTTTCCACTTTTTAAAGTATACTTTGATCCACAGGCAGTAGGTTTCTGTTACATTTAAACAAAGGTTCGGCCTGCTCTGTGGATGAAACCTAAAAAATAAAATTCTGTAAAAGCTCTAAAAGTTAATGCCCGTATTTGAAATTACCTATGTTCAAAAATATACAATAATCAAAAAATTACCAAAAATTTAAATGTGCTCATTGTCATTGCAATACTCTATATGTGCAGCACATAGGTCTACTTGCAAATTCTGTTGTATTTGCAAAGAATACGTAGAAGGTAATCCTTTTTCTTTATATAATTAAAAGCCAACGTCAAGTAGGCGAATAGAATACATTCTGTGTATAACAGAAAATAATATCAACTTACAGTTAGATAAAACAATATGAGGCAAAGTCAAAAAAATGTGTCTTTCAAATTCCAAATAATAACAAAAGCACATAAACCACGACTAAGCAATTAAATTATAACTTCCGCTAATGAGTTTCGAGATATTCGCACAAAGCCACAAGCTTTTTAGTGCATACATCGCACTACATATATATTATATTATATGTTTTATGTACTTAAAGTGGCCACACTCTCATAAACACCAACTCAGAGATATACCATAAATGCTTATAAACAAATAAACTAAAGGAAAGAAAAATATTATAAGTACAAAGCAAAAAAAAAAACCAAAAAAGCAAAAAGCCATAAAGTTGGCACATTAAAGCTCAGCACTGTCGTAGTCAACAGACAGATCTAAAAAGATTCTTGAACTCACTAATCTTTCGTATTATTTCCAATTATTTTTCAACTTTTAAGAACCCGCATCTAACTCTATATATACACACATATATTACAACACTTATTTAAGTCAACCTTATTTAAATAGAGCAGAACCACACACTTACACATACCTCCACACATACGAGTATGTGGATGAATAATAGTTGTACTATAAAAATTACATATGTATGCCAAAATCGCATTGTTGCAAAAAACTTTAGCACTTCAACAAGCTCACATGCTGGTAGAATGGCTAATAAATCTTCCGAAATGCGTTTTTTCTACAGTTAAAATTGTATCCGGATTTTCAGCTTGACTTTGCTCAAGCACTGTAACACATGTTAATGAGAAAAGTAAGCATGGCTGCATGTGAACTGGAGCTGGACCGCATATCGCAAGATTGATTAACTACTTGACGTAAGTCGAATTGTGCACAACAATAATATCCACAGATGGTTTGCAATATTTTTGGAACATTTCCGTTATTTCTGGCAACTATTTGGATATGAAAATGATATGTGTTAGTCATTTCGTAATGAAACCACTTTGAAACCAACTTCTATTGTCAAGTAGTGTTTATTAGAAAGAAAACTGTTGTAAGGAGCTCATGTGCACTTGCGCACTTTAAAAATCGTTTTTATTATTGCATATAAATCGTTTATAGACATATTTAAAAATATTCTCGGAAATTTTGAAACTGATCCGCCAAATATTTTCGGAGACATTTGCGTATTTGTGAACAAATTTAAACTTAGTTTAATCGGCTTCCAAAACCTAAAACTTTCGAAATTTTTCAAAATGAATCAGCGATTATTAAAGTACATTAAATTCTGTAAATGTATTTTTTTATTTATTTATTAAAAACGAGTTTTTTCTGACTTGCAAGTGGATATAGCCACTTGAGGTGATCATAGATCATTTTTCTGACGTTTACTCTCTTGCCGAACAATATATATTATATTTATCAGCCGAAGGTATCAGAGAGAAATCAAAGTCTTAAACCACTTAACCGTTAGGTCAAAAAGGGTAAGTGAATACCGAAATAATTGGCATCCCTTTTGCGTCTAATCTCTGATCAGCCTTGAGTTATACGTCGTACCCTACCACTAATACATTATACTTAAAATTCTTTCTAGTTAAAGCACTTTCTGAAAAAGTAGCGCAAGCTCATACGTGAGTTGAATTTGGATTCGGATGAAACCACCTTCTTACCCTTGGAGAGTTAGATTGATACTGTTATGTCTCGAAGCTCTACTGATTCATTTCGTATGGAAAAAATTGAAATTTCTTGAGAAATCTCTCCTATAATAAAAATTTAAACAAGTCGGTTATGTAAATGTTTAAAATTCATTAAACATTTCGTACTCAATTGCCAATATTCGCGGAACTCAGATTTAAGCTCCGAAACATTATTCTTCTATTAAAAATATTCCTAACATTCCTTTCAACTACAGTGACACCTTAACTTTTTCATTCATCTCATAGCAAATTTCGACTAGAATTTACCCTAAATTTAAACAGGTACTGTCTACCACGAAGATCCTCGTAAAGCTATATATGTTCATACATATATTACAACCATTATCTCTTTACGAGAAACTGTTCAAGAGAGTTTGTTTCTCAAGGAACTCGATCTCGCAGTTTCAAATGGCTTCACATAAATTATGGTTTTGGTAATCAGGTTCAGTCAAAATTCGATATTTATTATTCAACATAGGCGATACATTGATTATGGCCATCTTACAACAGTTTGAGGCAATTTCGCCGTCACAGTGTCGTCATACAAATATTATTTTCTGCCACTTATACTGTTAACTTATAGTTAGTAGAGCACCACTATGTTCTTGGATTTACTACATAACAAATAAAAACCGCTACACATTCAAGAACTACCGTTATTTATTAGCTTACGCTCCATTTTTACGCTGACATATACCATGAATCACCTTTCCATTTTACCATGCGCATTGTTTCATGATTAAAAGTCTGACATAAAACAGCGCAGACTAGTCAAAAAAAATTGCTACGAGCCCAGAAATTACATTCCTAGCTGGTGAGAAACCCAGCCAAATCACCAGCACGAACAACAGGTACAAGATTTAATTGAACGACCGAAGAAAAAAATTTTTAATTTTTTTTGCAATTTTTAAAGTGAGCTTCGAATTGCCGCTCATCGCACAGGCAGTGTGTGAACTCGATCTGCCACTTTTTACACAATTCAAATTCACAGCGGAATGTGAGGGTCTCATTTATAATATACACACACCTTCAAGCAGATGTAAATATGTAAGCCAACAACAAAAGCGCCAGCAACTCTAATTTTATTATGTGTGAGAAAAGCTGTGATCTTTCGCATGCGACGATCGTCAACTGATCACGGTTATAGATTCTTGAGAGCGCTTGCTGCCACCAACTTGTTGCTGACAGCAGCTAGCAACTCATGTTGTCCGGCGCTCTTGCTGCAGTTAACTATTTGCCAGCAAGCTTTGCCCTAGTGTAGTGTCATATTAATTATTTTGCAGTGAAAAGCGCCAACATCTTGCTACCAAACACACGTGCTCTTCCAATCTCTCACCTGCTCTCATGCGCTCTCTCTTTTTCTCTTCTCGTTACAGATCAAACAGCTCACCAACGAAGCTGGCAGTCGTGCAGTAGCGATCGTTAACGCCACCACCTCCAAACGCCATCGCCACCACCTCATGGCTAGCATCCGCTGCAGCAGCAAGATACAGAGTGACGAGTGTACAGCGTTCGGCAAATGTCGTTGGCGTCGTGATAGTCAGTGTAATCGGCGAGAGTAATCGTGTGCACGTCGGTGTCTCCAATGCGCTGCGCAACGTCGTCGTCGTCAAGTTTGCTCAAGCAGTTCGTGTCTGTGTATTGTTTTTGTTTGCTCAAGCACTTTGCAACCAACTACAGACATTGTTTTTGTTAATTTTCGACTTTTGGCACATTGGCGGCTGCCGCTGCCTTCGTCATTTCTGCTGCTGCTTGCTCCAATCGCCGGTGGAGAACTGAACCGAGCAACTGAATTTTTCGGCTGACTTTGTCAACAGGCATGGCGCTCCGACAGCGCTAGTACGAATTCATCTACCGACGCGCGTTGTCCGTTATAGCGGTTGTGCGGCATTTTGTTGCGTGTGTTGGTACATAGTCATGGTGTAGGCGAGCAAACGTAATTTCTTATACGTACAAGTACTTTTCTTCGCCTGCGAACCGCAGGAATACGCAGGAGGTTTAAAATTTTGTGTCGCGCATGCGTTAAGAAAAAAAGTGAATATTGTGAATTGCAAGTAAAAATATGCGTGTAAATGGAATGCAAAAAAGCTACCGATTAACGTTGCTTGGGTTTCGTGCCCTACTGTCCGGGGTGTCATCAGTGATTTGAGTGTAACTTTGACCAAAAGAAAAGATTGCAAAAATCAGCGAAAAGATACGAACTTGTTGGGCGAACTTAATGAGCGCTCTTATAAATGTATGTAATGTAAAGTGAATTTTGTGTAGCACAAAGCAATAAATTTATCAAAATTCCCAGAAAAAAATTTTTTTTGCGAAAGATCAAAACGAATTCGTAACGAGCAGAATTACATAACGAAAAGCACATATGAATGTATGTGTGTCAATAAAAAATATAATATAACTGACGAAAAATTTAAGTAATTACGAAATTTACGAGTGAATTTAAGTAAAAATTGTTTGAAAAAATATTATAATTAATTTAAAAAATATTTAAAAAGGTATTGTAACTAAATTAAATTAAAAAAAAAAAAATTTTGTACACAAAATCAATAATAGGATATATAAGAGTTAATATCAAAATATATTGAAAACTTTCAAAATAAATATTTTTAAAACAAATTTTGAAAAAGTTTTCAAAAAAATTTTTGAAAGTGGCAAATAAAAATTCTTGAGACCAATATTACACAAGAACGTACTAAAAATGTTCAACACTAAAAATTTTTGTATTGAAAACCATTTTTAAAAAAACCAAAATTTGAACTTATCAAGTTTATAAAGTTAGCAAAGAATATTATAAAATACTGCCAAATAAAAAATTTTTAAAACAAATATTATAAAAAAAAATATCGAGACAAAAAAAAACTACAATATAAAATTTTTTCAAAATCATAAATAATTAAAACACAAAAATTAAAAAAAAATTGTAAATAATTATTAAAACATACCAATAAACAGCTAAAAATATTTCGAATTAATAAATATTAAAATTTTTTAACAATGTATTAAAACAGAAAAAAGAGATTTAATAAAAAAAAAAATTATTTTAGAAAAAAAAATTTTTTAAGCTTTAAATCAGATATTATAAGAAAATATAGTTGAAAAGTGAACAGTAATTGAAAGAAAACTTTTTTAATACATAAAAAACAAGTGCTACTGCAAGCCACTCCCCTTGCACCCCCATGTTAAGAAAGTGAAATTTCGCTCGCACACATATAAAAGAAAAGTGCAAACAATATTCAAGTGTAAATTCTTAACACCAGTGCTTAAATCATAAAGCGACAATATTTTCATCGTCAACAACTACAACAACAGCAACACAATGGGTACGAAATCGCCCGGTGCACCGCAACGTTGTCGGCTGATATTACAGCGCTGTCTCGCCATACAGCTAAGCAAACCCGGTCATACCCCGGAGGACTTTTGGATGTACGATTCGGGTTATATGATCTTTCAGGTGAGTTGCCACCGAAAGTGAGCACATACTTATGTATATGCAATGGCACATAAGTGTAGCAGAAGCACAGTGGTAAACATGTTTTTGTGGCACACATAAGTGTTGTTGTTGTTGTTTGCGCATATACCAGAGATATGTGGGCATAGCCACTTTTTTCACAACTTTCTTAAACACTTTTTTTTTTGTTTTTGTGTTTTTTGTTTTCTTTTATTTTACGATTTAATTGTGCACCAGTGTTGGCTGTTGGTCGGTGCGTGGCGCAGCCTCGAACTGGCTTTCGATTTGTGTCACGCTTACGCTGAGATATGCTTTGCTCGCGGCCTTGGCCCTTTTCTTCACGTGTTTGTCCACTTGTGTTAAACTTGACTTAACTTTCAATTAGAGTAAATAAAAGTGCAAGCACACACATACACATACATATATATGTTTACACACATGCATTGTAGAGACAGCATTTGTATGAAGTGTCTACAGTTCGCTCGTAGATAGAAATCAGCGAAAATCGTATTGTGGCAGCGAATGCCGGCCGCGTCTGCGTCGATTTCAGTGTCTTTAATTGTTTTGTCTTTTGTAAAAGGTAATTGTTGAACTATTAAATTTAAACTACAATTGGTTGTGTGCGCTGACACATATTTTTACGCACACATATTCACATATGTGAGTAAGTCGCACATTCAACTTATGCGCTGACTTTCAATTTTCAATTTTAAAAATCTTTTGGGCATTGCAAACTCCCAATATTGGCAAATCCAACAAATAAGCATTTTCTTGAAGAGAAAAGGATGTGAGCAAAATTTCAGAACGATATCTCAAAAACTGAAGAACTAGTTCGAGTATTTAAAAGCAGACAGTTGGACAGACAGACAGACAAGGCTAAATCGACTCAGCTAAACACGCTGATCACTAACATTATACTTTATAAGATCTCCATGGTTTCCTTCTAGGTGTTACAAACCTCGTGGCCAACTTAATATTAAGTGTTCAGAATACAATAATAGGGATATTAAGAAATGAACATTTACTTAAGCGAGAAAAATTAGGGTCTCTGTGAAAGAAAGTTGTTTTCTCTTATATTCCCACTAATATTGATATTCCTCTTCATGATAAAGCGCCTGGAAATAATTTTATCTAATCCTCAAAGTCCTGCTGATGAATATTTTTTGGCATAACTAAAAAGCATATTTTCCTTAGTAGTAAGCGTAGTACGATTTCCAACTGTTTGGTAACTCGGATTTCAGAGTTTTGTCCAGCAAATTTTTTTATCTACTTGAGGACAAATGTATCAATGGAAACTATTGTCTCATAAAAATTGTGTGGATTCACTTGATTTATATTCATGAGTGATGGTGGACTTCAAGAGAAAGTGTTTTATTACAAAAGTGCACTCAGATCTATTAGAAAAATACATATATTTTATTCATGTCTCGATCAAAATTTACTATCATGACCAATTAACTAAAACTTGTGTTTGGCCACCTTTGACTGTCATTTTAATTTTATCATTACTGAAACAATATAATCATTGAACTAATTGGGTACGATGCCAAATCTGGTTTTTATATTCTGTTAAATTTCGAAAGAGATCCAAGTAACATTATAAGTCTGTCGATTTTGAAACATATAGCAAAAAAAATATATTTCCTATATGGTTTAGGGAAATGAATAACTTTTAACGCCTGTAACTTTTTACTCTATAGTAACTACGTCATTGTTTAGAGCCTTTATTTATAAATTTAATAATTTCTAATATTTAAGAACTACTCTCAAACAAGTAGATAGAAAACACGAATTTCATACCGTTTAATAATCATATTTCGAAAATATTTAAGAATTGCCTTTGAGAAACTTGCCGTGAGAAAAAGTTGTATGTCAAATCTCTGAATTATTGAACTTGTGGAACACAAAGCTGTAAATAATTGAACTTGTGGAACAAAAAGCAAATGAAGTGAAAAGTATTTATTGGGATTGAATTCAGTAGCTCTTTAACTTGTTATTTTTTGTCAAAGAGGATCTCGTTCGAGGAAACGATGTTTTGAAGGCTTTTGTGGGATCAAATCAAATAGCACATGAAGTCTTAGCGCTAGTTGAGAGCAACTAATTTCTACATGCGCAAAAGTCTCTTGATTCCAAAACAAAATTTTAATTTTAATAGACTTCAACTTACTTCCACTTGAAGAACTAAATTAATTTAAAATATTTACAATCAAACCAAGCGTGAAGATGCTATCACAAAAAGAACCTGCCAAACAATACAACAAAATATCTTTTTTGCACATGACTGCACCCGCACAGTAAGGCACGTAGTTAGTTTTGATAAATCGTCTGCAGCCGAAAAACTTTCAAACAACAATTGCCACTGCAATAGCCAAAAAGTTGCTCCTCCAATCACCAGTTCGGCGCACATGTTTTCTAACGCCCGTATTTCCTTGGCAAATGCAACGCGCGCAAGCTAAAGAGGGCCATACCACACAGGGAAGCAAAAAGGTTATGCGTTCGACTAGGCGTCACAAGGACTAGACATGCCACAATTGCAACTTGCAACTGCAACTGCCGTCGTGGTGCATACGGAAATAATTCACTATTCGCAATGCGCTTCATTGACAGCTCAGCGTGGTGAACTGCATTCGTTGCACCACACACACTATGCCACTCTCGTGCCCCAAAATGCAAGTCAAGCGGAAATATGGTTGTCCGCCCTGAAAGCACATCCCACAATAACAAAATATGTATATCGTGAGCTTGAAGTTAGTCGCTTGTGGCTGAACCTTTTTGTGTGGCCTTGCACTTGCATACTGAGGTGGCATTGCACATCTGCGTGTGTGTGTGTGCATGTGTGCGTGTTTGTTGCGGGTTATTGATGACTTTGAGAAGTTATTGCACTGCAATTTCCGGTCTTTGTTTGTTTCATTTTTTGTCTGTTTTTCAGCTGTGCGAATATTGCAATTCCAAACGGGAATACATGTACATATCTAATAATTTATTATATATGTATGTGTGCATGGCGTTAGATAAAAGTTAGTAACTGTAAAGGCTAGCAGACGCATTTATTGCTCTAAAACAGCACTTTTCGTTTTAAATTGGTTTTTAAAATATAAATTTTTACGAGATAAAAGTTTTCCATGACGTTTGAATTTTAAATTTAAGCAAAATTTATTATAAGTAAATAACGTTGAGTACCTTAGAGCTTTCGTGACATAAATAAGCTTTCATTTGGCAGAATTTCTTTAAAGTTTATTTTGTGGCCCATTAAGCTAGAAATGGAATGCCGATCATTAAGTAACTCTACAAAAGCAAGCTATAATTGCTTGCTTACTGCGAGACCCCTCTTGAGATTCATGAGTTTCTAAAATAAAACTAAGTCTCACAAATATTTTAAAAAATTTAAAAATATAGTTTTATTCTTCGCAGAATGATCGCGCAGATCAAATTTCTAAAAAAAATTAAATGGCAGATCTGTAGCGAGTTGCAATGCAGATCGACTCCAAAGTTATCGACTGACTCATTTTTTAATTGAATTTTTCTTACTCTTTAGCTTCGCTTTCGCTGCCATGTAATATTTGATTTTGAAATTTATTAGCCTAACAGCTAATTCACACTCCATATCCGATTTGATACGGGTGTTTTCCCACTCTATTAATACGTAATTCTGGTAACTACACCTTCACTACTCGATATTCCCACGCTGCCAAATTGACTCTCAGCTAATTTATGAAAAATTTGATTTTCAGCTTACCAAATTTATTATATATTATAATATTCAAATAAAAATCGACTTAAACACCGGTAATAATTATTAATAATTATTGCTTTAAGGCTTGCGGGGGGGCAAATTTTAACCATTTATTTTAAGTTATGAAAATTTCTCATTCGTTGAACTCTAAAATGAAATTTGATTAGCATTTTATTCAGTTTTTTATAAAAAAAAAAAAATATTAAATATAATCGCCAGCTCGATATTTATTATGATTTATAGCTATTAATGATTTATAACTTAACCAAATATTTTGTAGGTTTTAAGTTGAGGGTTAGTAAAATCTATAAATATCAGGTTATGGTAAAAAAAAACTGTTTTAAAATAAACTGACATATTTAAGCTATCTTAAAAAAAATTATATATATTAATTTTCCCTTGATTTGAATAATTGATTGCATTCGTGTAAGCAAGTACAGAGTTAAAAAAAATTTAAGAAAAAAAATTTTATTTAATAATTACTTGTAATTTGTAAATTTGTAATATATATATTGTATATTATATATTTTATAAAAATTAAAAAAATATATTTTTTTATTTTGTGACACATAAAAATCACTTACTTTTTTTATGCAATTTTCTGCCAACCTCACATTTTCTTCTCACCAATGTCAATACACATAGTTCGCTAAAGGCCACTTGCATACTGTAGTTCAATGTTGGTGTTTTGCGAATTCATGTTATTAACTCGTTCAACAATAATAATAATCGCATTATTCGCAAACGCTTTTCAAATTCACGCTCCACCAACAACAAGTATTGTATAAGTACGTGAATTCAAAATCATTTGACATTGCACTTGACACCTGTGATGTTCACAGAAATTTATATAATTTCAGTTTTAACGCGCTTTTTTCCATAGTTTTCTATTCACTTGCTGTTTTCAATGCAAAACTCTAATTATTACTAATTTCGGAGCAAAGTGTTAAATGTTAATTGTTATGCTTCAGTTAACAGAAAAACCTTTGTTTCGAAATTTATTTTTTTTTTTCTTATGGTAAATATACAATACCGAAATGTCGTTAGTTGCATAACGCCAGCGTTGCTTTATATTAGTTTACAAGCTCATTTCAGTTTATTGCACGAATACGATATTATTTTACGATATTATTTCATAAAATTGTACCGCAATTTATGTGACATTAAAACGGAAATAAATTTGATGAATTAAAATTTGAAACATGGAGCACTGCAAGTTATTGCCACTATTCTCCGCTTCAATCTTATATTCATATGTAACTCCATATAC